GACTCATAGAAATTATGTTGTAGGAAGCTTTTTTCTGAAAATGCTTCTTCCTTAACGATTTTACTAAATTATAGAAATCCAGCTTATCATTTTTTCCAAGAAAACTAGAAAATAAAAGCACGATAACAATAATACAAATATATTTGAAATGCATTTACTATTTCTCTGGCTAAAATATTGATTTTTATTTTCCTTTTCCCCTGTTTAGTGTTCGTTTTCCAAACATACACACATACACACATAAATTTTAATATAGCAGTTTGTAGCTTCATCGCCCCCTTTTGCTGAACATCAGTTTATTGGCTTTTAGCCAGCATCTTTGCACTTTTTCCTATTCTTATTAAACTTATGGTCTTGTAATAATTTTGTCCATTCCGCATTGTGCGTCATTTTTCGTAAACATTTGCCAGTTTGAATAAATTAGAAAACGAAACATGCACTTCGCTTCTTCGTTTTCTCCTATTGTCGCCACAGATTTTATACCTACAATAGCTTGCTGGCTAATAGGTGATTTTCTAAAGCTTTTTTGCTTTATTTTATGTACCACATGTCACACTTTAGCTATTTTGGTCATTTTTACCTTTCCTTCTTTTTTTGTTTACTGCTCTTAAGCACATTTCCACTGTTTACGCTTGTTTTTGTTATTATCATTTATGTATTTGAAGTATTTTACAGTATTTCGAGAATTTCGAGAATTTTTTATTCATACAGAGATATTTATAGCTTGCCCCAAATTATTTGTTGTGGTCTGGAATTTTACCAAAAATTTTTTGTTTTTTTTTTTGGCGAAATTTATAAGAGAACCGCGCAGTGTATATTTGGTTATGATTGAGCTGTAGTATTAACTTGCGGTTTAATTAATTGGAAATAAATTATTAAGTAGATAACGAAATATATTATTTTTTTCCAAACAATCTTTGAGGGTATGCGTTGCCAAATATTTGAGGTTATGTATTGCTAAATTGCTGGAAGATAATTGTTCGCATAAAAAAGTTTTCCATACAAGAACTTGAGTATGATCGACCAGTTTGTATGGCAATTATATTTACTATAGTAATCCGATCTGCATAATTTAATCGGAGATTGTAGGGTTAGGTAAAAGTATGTGCCAAATTTAGTGAAGATAACTTATCAAGTAAGAGAGAATCCAAGAATTTTATTTTGGTCGGTGAATTTGTACGGCAGACCATAGGCTCTACTGGTCTAATTAGAATATTTGTTCGTAGAAGGTAGCGCTGTCTTACACAAATATGTGTATTTGCACACATTTTCCTTACAGCAAATTTATTTTCTCTGGTTAGTGGTTTCTGACAAATGAGCAGATCCTTGAAGCGCATAGAACGTGTGCAAAATTTCAGATCGACATCTAAAATCCGACATCGGAAAAAATGAGGGCCAATTCACTGCTCTACATATAAATATTTACATATGTATGCTCCTAATCTAATCTAAACAAATCACTCGTCATATTGCTACCCGGCCCCGAAATATCACTTTAAACTATTGTGCTTACGTTGTTCTGAACTAAAGTTATATACTCTGCATATTTCCACTCCGTTCGCAATAACTTTAATTTCATTTGACAACTTTCATTTACATGTATGTTTATTCATTTTTCTGCAAACTATTTTTGTTTACAGCGCGTTTTGCTTTTGCAGAATACCACCGAGTTCATTGCCCTCTCTATCGGCACGCTTCCAATGCTAACAATTAAAAGATATTAAATGCATTCGAAAGATTCTACGACGTGTTTGTGTATAAATGTAGGTATGTATGCAATCCACATTTTCACCGCACCTAATGTCAAACGAAGTGGCCGGACATACAAACCGGCAGTCCAATCGGAATGAAAAGAAAAACAAAAGTGCAATGACAGTGTAGGTATGCACATATTTAAGCGAAAGTACATACGAGTACAAGAAAAATGTGACAATAACAAAATTGCATGATAGAGACCACAGACACACCCTTTCGCGAAGATGCAGCTACGATGCAAAACGCATAGAAACAGGATGTGGCAGCAAGTCATAATTTCATAACATAATATGGAGGTAAGCAAAATAGTAAAAAAAATATATTAGGAACGGAAAACTTTGCGAGGAAATTGTGCAATCATAAATACATTAATGTATACCTGAAAATATGTATATAGATAATATGTGTATAGTTACTTACCAGCGCTGTGCTCTGCCGCACCACCTGCGAGACGGAGTCGCGTAGCTGTGCTGCCATACCGGCTTTGTTGCTGTTTAGGACGCGTGAGAATTTGCGTTCGCTCATCTTGGCCACAAATCAAAAGCGAAGGCCAAGTTTGAAATAACTCGTAAAAGAACACAATCCAACAAGAATTTATACCAGTTTATAAATTCTTATAAAAACAAGTTACACATAAACAAAATGAAAATACATGGAAAAAACTCAAGTTCTTGGCAGATGGAATACAAGTTGAAAGGAAGAACACAGATGATGGCAAACACACGGTTGTTTATGCAGATATGTACGAATATGCGCCGAATGTCAGCACGGCCTCCAACGAGTTGGTGACTTTTCGTATGTTGTTTTTGCGTTGTCAAATGCAGGGATACGAATACAACGTAGAGTATGACGTATCTTTTTACTTTTATTTTTATTTCAGTAGCATTAACTTTGCGAATACAAATATATTTTTATATAGCACCGCTACTTCCTTTAGACATTTATTTTACACATATGTATGTATGCGTAAATATGAATATCGGAGCACGTGTGTTTGTATAGATATTTTGTGGCAATCGAAAGGGGTCTAGCGTGAGTATGACACCCGGTCACTTTTTTGTTGTTTTATCGAACGCGATGAGTAATCGCACTGGTATTCCTGTGGGACCGACACCGGCAATCCCATCACTTTAAAATACACGCTTATTTGAAGTTTAGTAAACTCTTTTCACAATTATTTATTGATATCTACACTATGCAATGTATGTACATATGGCTTTACATTTCGCGAAATTGTTGAAGGACAATGTACCAGCCTGGAAAAAGCAAGCCGCCCACTAGCTGCACTACATAGTTATGTATATCACACACACACAAGCATAAGGCGGCTTTTCCGTTGTTATACACAAAACACAATTGCTTTGCTCAGCACAATAATAGAATTTGCGTTTTTCGCAATTTCCAAAATAACTGCAAAATATTATTCGAATATATACGGAGACGTAAAGAATTATATTCAGCACAAAATTTTGCGATCGTAAATATTCTTAATACTTATTGCAACTAACACAGAGCTAACCGTAATTTATTTCAATTACAGCTAGAAACTTTGGCTTTAGCACATTTGTTTACAATTTCCGATTTTGTTTACTTTTTATTCATCTTTCACATATTGCATTGCAATTCAAATTACAAACATTGATTCACCCACACACAAAAATATATTTAAACAGACACAGCACAAAAAACTATTAAACTCTCATAAATTTCTAATTTAACTGAATGGTCTGACGCGCGTTTTATGACTGAAAACCAATTCGCCGTCTAATCAGTGGTCAGAAAATTTCTTGTACGATATAAATGCAACACTGGGAACAGCTGTTTCATAATGTGGATGATAAGTACGGCAAAGATGCCAGAAGACACAGTAGCTTGCATGCTTAGACTTCATTTCAATATATAATTTATATATTTATAAAATTAATAAGGGTTTCCAATAAAAATTAAAGTCAAAATTTAATAAAAATAAATTGCTTGTAAAGTTTCTATTTACGTTTCTGTTCAACTATTCTTGTTTGATAAGAAAATGTGATGCGAATTAATACCTGTGCGTGCAAATTTCTGCTGAAAGAAACAAAATACATGCAATAATTGTCGAAAAGTCTGCGGAAAGTTACACAAAGGCTATAAATTATTACTAATAAGTATTTTACAATTTTTCTAATTTACTGTCTGCTCTAACTGTAGGTAAGGTTAAGGCAATATTTTGATTAGCCTACATACAAATATGATGAATTCATTTAATAATTTGTTGTCTTGTGGCAACACTGTTAACTTAGATGCCACAGCAAAAGACAAAAATATTCCGGCGGATATACTTCGGAGTAAATTTATTTTATTCGTGTATTTTAAACATTTGAAGTGAGAAATTTAAGAGTTTAAGAAAATAAATTTATTCTTAACCTTATTCAGGATATCGGTGATAAATGTGCAAGTGCAAGCCATCTGTAACATTGATGCAATGCAAAAGCCTGTAACGAAACTGAATTTCGTGTGTGCAGCGGCCATTTGCCGGTTCGGTTTCGTTTAATACGAGCGGTTGTGCAGTTACTGCGGAAGGTTCGAGATACGTGATTGTTCATGCAAGTAAAATATATGTTTAATAGTATTCTGGACTTTTAAACCGGTCCTAAGTTTAGGTTTTAGTGCATATTCAAGTGAAATTTACCAAATTAATCAAAATTAGCGCGATATATACTGGAGCTGCACACAAGTAGTAATTTTGTGTTATCTCATCTACCGTCTTCAATTCTGGTTGACATTGTAATGTTAAACGGAAAATTTGGAAGATGACTCTTGCTTAGTTAACGGATTTTTAACGGAACCATTGCAAATAGAAAAAAAATGTGAAAAAGTATTAGCTCAACAATATTTAACACATAAAAAGTAACAAATTAATTTCGGCTTATTAAGTGAATAAAAATTTATTGTAGAGCATAGTGGTCACTTATGATATGGAAATTGTAATAAGGTGTTGCTTATGTTCTAATGAACGTTTTGCGGAATTACTGCTGAAAATTGTGTAACGAAACAATAAAAAAATAACTATCATATAAATTCGCGAACTTCGTTACTAAATTTAATTATTTATCGAGTGAGAATTTAAATACGTATATTAAATCTTGGCTTTTAAAATATCACAACAAAAAAATATTTTTGTAAAGTCTACTAAAAAATAACATTTTTGTGAAGTTTACTTAAAAAAAAATTATTATTATTAAAATTAATTACATACATATGTAAAACGGGCTGCTCTGCAAATCTAAATAATTGAAAATCAGGAACCAAATATCTAAAACTAAAACTATGCCCAGAACCAGTTCAAGGTAAGAAATGTAAACGAGTACTTATATTTTGTTTATGTTAATATTATATTACCCCTGCATGTACGCAGATAAACTAATTTCGTCATGTTTTATCACAATACGTATGCGCCTATAATTATGCCTTCAATTTTATTTAAATTTTAAAAAGTCTTATATTTTACTAAGTAATTAATTGGTAACATTTGGTTATTTTAATAATAAAAAATCGAGGCAAAGTAAAGTAAGGAACCGTACTACATACAGTCATCTTTGTAGAAGCATTAATAACACTTATGGTTATAATAATGAGGATTATATTAATCACCTATAGCGCTAAATACTTAAATTTAAAATAAATTCAATTACAAATTAATTATCATTGAGTTGTATGTACGAACGTCTTATCACTGCTGAAGCTTATCCCTTGGCATTGGAATTAAATTTTACACATTTTGCTTTTTGATCACAATTGGCAGTTTAAAACAGCAGCCACACCTTCCTCATCAAAATACGCTCCTAACTCAAAACATACAATTTGACTACAACGATGAGAAAATTTTATAGCTTGTTTTTTCAACTCCAAAAAGTTATAGTATCTACTTAAAAATCACACTCAAATATTTCGCTTTACCTGTGCAACTAAAACCAAGAGAGGCTACGTGCGTGACATCAACTCCTAACAAATCCGCTCGGACAATCCACATTATGCCTAGCATCAGAGAACCTGTCAAATACACGCAGCTAACTACAGTTTTGTATATGTGTGTGTATAATTTTTGTGCATTTACGTACTTTGTCGTCGGCACATTTGTTTATATTCTTAGTGTTGTCTTTGTGTATCGCAATGTTTACCCATTTGCTAGCGTTGTTGTCGTCTAGTTTGAGACTTGTCGATTCAATGTCTTAATGTACGGCAACATATACAAATTTTTGATGCAAATACATGTAGTATGTATTTTTGAAGATGTATCTGCCTCATGTCCAAATTTTTCTGCATACACAACTACTATTTTTTTGATATTTTTTTAATTCCTTTTCGTGCTGAGCACCGACCCACTGAGTGGCCGACTTCAGCGCACGAGTATCTGCTGAATGTGCACTCACCGCCGGCCAGATATCTCCGCAGTTGTTGTATTGGTTTGTCTCCAATTCACAGTTGCGAGTCGCATTGCTTCGAGACGTTCGTTCAGTGTTGAGCGGTGATCTTACGGAGTCAGATCGTTTGAACGGTTACTCGGACGTAAAGTGCGGCATATTTTTAAGAAAGTGAAAAAAACACAGTGTTTCGGTTGTGTGTGTGTATTAAAACATTCATATTGTGCATATGGAGTAGTGTGTGTAAAGTGCCTACATAAATACATACAGACAAACTTCATGAATACTTGTAGGTGCATATACAAATTGTGTGTGCAAGAGGAGTTGGGCTTTTATCAACAACTGGACTCGGTCAATGGTGAGTATGGTTTTCATTGTAAAAATATGAAAATTTTGAAAAAATGAATGAAAATGTTGTGGGCAAATGTAGTGATCGGCGTATTAAATATAATATGAGTATATGTATAAGGATAAATTATGTGCTCTCTATATAGCCCAAGAGCGTTCTGAAGTTGCAGATAATACCACTATGTATGACACCATTTTAATATAATACATACACATGTTTCCGTTTACTCGTACATTCCTTGAGTTGCATGCATATCACTTGCTTTCTTTTCTGGTCTTTGGTTTTTCATTTTTCACTTAAGGGTATCACATGTTTTTCTTGCGCCGTTCGCTGCCACAGACTTATCACACAAAGCACTGCTGCAAAGTCAAAGAAAAAACTTGAGACAATGCAGTCATATGCAACTGATAGAAACTAACTGCTGAGTTGTGCACATACATATACGTACATTTACATATATATATATTTATATAAACATGTTTTTTTTTCAACTTGCTTCAAAAAAATTTTTGCAATTGTACTATATTTCACACTATTTGGGAAAATAGTCTGCTCTATTGAAATAGTAAACGTTCTGTGTAAAATGCTATGTAACGTACTGTTTACCGCTTAGGTGTCCACTTACATATGTATGTACATACGAGTACTCTTTCTGTCTTGGAAATTGGAGTTGCAGCCAAAAGTGCAATGATAAGCAGAGCATTAATGTTTTTTCTTGTATTTTTAACTCCTTCATTGAAAATTAGAAATAAACCTAATATACAAAGATTTTTAATGTCTACTGTACACCATGTGGGACATGCATATTCTTATTCTATGATAAACGAAACGACTTTACTTCAGTCAACAAATATTTAATCTTGAATAAGTAAAGAATTGTTTTTGTATTAAATACGTTATGACCTCAGCAATATTATTCACTTGAATAATGTTAGACAGTTCTATACGCACGTCCATAGAGTAGCTTTTTTTTATATTAAGTATGAAAATATATTAAAAAATGCCTTTTAAGCTTTCCAATTCATAATTCATAGACGGTCTCTAGATCACAAAAATAACTCCCCCTTAAGGCTGAAAGAATATATTATTAGAATAATATAGCAAAAAAGTCAAACAATTAACACTCTTGAGGCTCATAACAGAGATTTGAAGCGATTTCGAAAAAAAAAAACCTAAAAAAGGCGTTAATTACGGAGTACGAAATTTGATTCCGATCGTTCAGTTGGTATGACATGTTCGTCCCCTTTTTAGCTTGATATCTCAGAACCTGAAGGACAAGTTCGCGTATATACAGGTTGATGGGCATACGGACGTATAAATAGGCAGAGGCACATGGCTAAGTCAACTCAACTTGTCACGCTGAACATTTATATACATTTTCGGCAATTTCTTCTGGATGTTACCAATTTCGCGGCTAACTTAATATGGTATACTCCTTTCAGGGTATAAAAAAATGATAATTATCAAATTTCTGTAACGCTTTCCGTTTTACACAACCTGTTTTTCGAAAGCATTTTTAAGGATAAAATCTCTCTCATATAGGCTTGAAAACTACCATACTACAGATTTCTTGGCTTCCCGATTGGAACAAATAATACGCTTCTCTTAAAAACTACATACTTTTTTTTTTACATATATTTAAGTCGAATGGCTTAGCATCCTCACTAAAAGTCATTAACTATCTTAGTTGCAGAATTCTTTCCATGATCTTTTTGGTTTAAATACTTATAAAGTTACTTTGACTTTTGAAAAATTCCTCCGAGAAAGCTATAGATGGGTAAACCTCTAAATTTTTAATGTTTGTAATTTAGCTTTTAATTGATTTGTTAAGCTCAGCCACTTATTTGTGGATCTACTTGTACTACGGTTCCGGGAATACATCAATCTCATTTTTTGAATGAAGAATTTACCTGAAACTGAGTTTTTCAATAGTTGATTTGCTCTTAAAATTGAAATTCTCCAACATTTCTGTATTTCCGAGTTATAATTGAAACGAAAATCTTCGAAAAATCGGAACCAGACGTTAAAAGCGTCTAAAACTGATACCCATTTGCGCTGTACTATACATACATACATAGATACTTCTAGATATGTATAATATTTAAGTCTATGCTCTTGTTTGTAAGTGTTTGCATTCGAGCAATTTATTCATTAACGCACTCAAGCATCGACGTCCAGTGCGGTCCTGTATTCTTGTGCGCGGATACATTTTAATTATAACTGCAAAGAGTGAGGCAAACGTCGAAGCAGGACACAAATAAAGCTTAAAAAGCTTAAAAAGATGCCGAAAAATCAACACGAAAGGCGGATACGTTAATTACGGTAAAATATAAACAAACGCGACAAAGAGTTATCTCCACTGGACTCATATCATATGAACTTGGACTCGAATCTAATTCATATTATATCTAATGTTGTTGAAATATCTATGAATGTACAAATTGCAAGTTGCACTTGCACTGCAATTACTGCCAAGCGCTGAGAGTGCAAAATTTTGTAAAAAAAAAAACCTCAGCATTACGCTAGTATTTTTAGTTTCGCACACTTTTTTTCTTACAATTCTGCTGGTCGCGATTATGATCTCATAGCTTGGGCCAATGTGCTGTGAGGCAATTGTTTTTTTATTGCTTGAGTTTTTGGTCTACCGGAACATTACATACTCAATTTTCCGCAACTGTTGTTGTGCGTAATTTCTGTGCTTACTCAGCTCCGAAATGTGCTAGGAAAATCAATTTTATTGTACATACATATGTATGTATATATATGTATACAAATATTATATTTAAATATGTTTGGTTGTTGTTATAATTTATGTGTTCCTACATGTGTTAAGATTTTGGTAAAAATTATAAATTATATTTGTTCAGCAAGACATGGCATATCGGGATGCCGAATTGCTATTATTGAAATCCCGAAATACCGAAACTCATACCACATTTATTTTAGGTCTCTTTTAGTTTATTAACTTAATTTGGCTCTTTGTATATGCATATATAGGTATATGAAAATTGAGCAGAACGCCAGTAAATATAATATGTATGTGTAGTACGCCTAATTCTAGAAGTACATATACAAATGTATGGTATCTTCATAATTTGTACGAATTCGAGCCTATTTTTAGGGAATTATTGTGTATTAAAAAAATATTTTTCGTAAATTTTTTATACAACTTGAGAATCTGCAAAAAATGTTTCATTCAGTGCAGAATCCCGAAAATGATTTTTTAATCCCGAAATGTCCGGTTTATCTAAACTTGCCGGAATTGAGTGCATTAAACAACATTTTGATTTTTAAGTGCAAATTATTTTTTTAAAGACCGAAATTTCGGGATTGTGTACCTTAATCAACAATTTGATTTTTAAGTACAATTTAACTTTTTAAATGCTGAAATTTTGCGATTATCTAAAATTTTGGGATCAGTCAATATTTTCATTTGAAATACAAATTAGTAATTCAATCCTGGATTATCTAAAGTTTAAACTTCATTTTTTGAATCCCGAAATTTCGGTGCAATTTTGTGTATAATAATCAATATTTAGATTTTGAATGCAAATTAATACTTAAATCCTGCATAAAG